TCAACAGATGTAGAGAATGCATTTGGTAAAATACAAACCTTTTCATGATGAAAACTCTAAGCAAATTAGGTATAGAAGGAACATTCCTGAATACAATTAAAGCAATTTATGAAAAACCCATGGCCAGCATCCTATTGAATGGGGAAAAGTTGGAAGCATTTCCACTGAGATCTGGTACCAAACAGGGATGCCCACTGCTATTCAATATACTTCCGGAAGTTTTAGAGCAATTAGGCAAGAAAAAGAAATTAAAGGGATACAAATTGGGAAGGAAGAAGTCAAACTATCCCTCTTTGCAGATGATATGTTTCTCCATTTAGGGGACCCAAAGAACTCTACTAAGAGACTATTGGAACTCATAGAAGAGTTTGGCAAAATAGCAGGATGTAAAATCAGTGCACAAATATCCACAGCCTTTGTATACACTGGTAATGCCATGGCTGAGAAAGAACATCCAAGACCAATCCCATTCACAATAGCCACAAAAACAATCAAATACCTTGGAATAAACTTAACCAAGGATGTTAAAGATCTCTCTGATGAGAATTACAGAATCTTAAAGAAAGAAATAGAAGAGGATGCCAAAAAAATGGAAAAATCTTCAATGCTCATGGATTGGAAGATTTAATATCATCAAAATCTCCATTCTTCCAAAAGCAATTCATAGATTCAATGCGATACCAATCAAAATACCAAAGACATTCTTCTCAGATCGGGAAAAAATGATGCTGAAATTCATATGGAGACAAAGAAGACCTCGAATAACTAAAGCAATCTTGTACAACAAAAACAAAGCCGGAGGCATCACAATACCAGATTTCAGGACATACAACAGGGCAGTTGTAATCAAAACAGCATGGTACTGGTACAGAAACAGATGGATAGACCAATGTAATAGAATAGAAATACCAGAAATCAATCCAAAATCCTACAGCCAAAACCAATCCCTGGAGTAAGGACAGTCTATTCAATAAATAGTGCTGGGAAAATTGGATTTCCACATGCAGAAGCATGAAGCAAGACCCCAACCTTTCACCTTACACAAAAATCCACTCAACATGGATTAAAGATCTAAATCTATAACCCGAAACCATCAACTTAGTAGAGAACATCGGAAAAACCCTGCAAGATATCGGCACCAGCAAAGACTTCTTGGAAAAGACCCTGGAAGCACTGGCAGTCAAATCCGAAATTAACATTTGGGATCGCATCAAATTGAGAAGTTTCTGTACTGTGACAGAAACAGACAAGGAAATGAAGAGGCAACTGACAGAATGGGAAAAGATATTTGCAAACTATGCAACAGATAAAGGGTTAATAACCAGAATCTACAAAGAGATCAAGAAACTCCAAAACAACAAATCAAACAACCCACTTAAGGATGTGCCAAGGACCTCAGTGGACATTATTTAAAAGAGGAAATACAAGTGGCCAACAGACACATGAAAAAAGGTTCAGGATCACTAGCATCAGGGGAAATGCAAATACAAACCACAATGAGATTTCACCTCACCCCGGTGAGAATGGCTCACATACAGAAATCTACCAACAACAGATGCTGGAGAGGATGTGGGGAAAAGGAACACTAACCCACTGTTGGTGGGTAGGCAAACTGGTAAAGCCACTGTGGAAGTCAGTCTTGAGATTCCTCAGAAACCTGAATATAACCGCATCATAAAACCCAGCCATCCCACTCCTTGGAATTTACCCAAAGGAAATTAAATATGCAAACAAAAAAGCTGTCTGCACCTTAATGTTTATTGCAGCTCAATTCACAATTGCTAAGACCTAGAACCAACCCAAATGCCCGTCAACAGTAGACTGGATAAAGAATTTATGGGACATGTACTCTATAGAATACTATACAGCAGTCAAAAACAATGAAATCCAGTCATTTGCAACAAATGGAGGAATCTGGAAAACATTATGCTGAGTGAATTAAGCCAGTCCCAAAGGGACAAATAGCATATGTTCTCCCCGATCAGTGACAACTAACTGAGCACCAAAAAGAAACCTGTTGAAGTGAAATGGATAACACGAGAAACATTGACTTGATTAGCCCTTGTCCCGACTGTTGATGTAGAATTTAATGCTTTTAGTATTTTTTTGTCCTACTTAATACTATTGGTTGAACTCTTTAATTAACACACAATTATTCTTAGGTGTTTAAATTTAACTGAAAAGTGATCTCTGTTAAATATAAGAATGGGAATAAGAGGGAGGAAATGTACAATTTGAGACATGCTCAAGCTGACTTACCACAAATGGTGGAGTTAGAAATATGCCAGGCGATTCCAATACAATCCCATCAAACTGGCATGTACCAATGCCATTTCACTAGTACAAGTGAACGATTTCAGTTCATACTGATAAGTCTAAGAGTCAAAGGGATTACACAAACAAGACTAGTGTCTGCAAATACTAGCTGATAGAATAAAAAAGGGAGAGAATGATCCAACATGGGAAGTGAGATACACAGCAGACCCATAGAATGGCAGATGTCCTAAACAGCACTCTGGCCTCAGAATCAGCCCTTAAGGCATTTGAATATGCCTAAGGATCCCATGAGAGTATTTTAGGCATGGAAAGCCAAGACACTCAGGTGAAAAAAAAAAAAAAAAAAAGGAGGATCTAAATGGAAGATCTCTGCCTGTGAGATCCCAGTAGAAAGAACGGGCCATCAAAGAAGGAGGTACCTTTTTCTGAAGGGAAGAGAGAATTTCCACTTTCACTATGACCTTTTCTAAATATGATCGATGTCAGTGAACTCAAAAGGCTTCCATAGGCTTGGCAGCTCGTGACAAGAGCCAAGGGTGATTACTGACGCCATATACAAGGTGTCAATTTGTTAAGTCAACAACAGGAGTCACTGTGCACTTACTCCTCATGTAGGATCTCTGTCCATACTGTGTTTTTCAATGTGAATTAATGTTATAACTAGTACAACTACTACTCAAACAGTATTTTACACTTTATGTTTCTGTGTAGGTGCAAACTGATGAAATCTTTACCTTATATATACTAAATTGATCTTTTGTATATAAAGATAATTGAAAATGAATTTTTTATGTGAATGGAATGGGAGAGGGAGTGGGAGATGGTAGGGTTGTGGGTGGAATGGAATTTATGGGGGGGAAGCCATTGTAATCCATAAACTGTACTTTGGAAATTTATGTTTACTAAATAATAGTTAAAAAATAATAGATTATGGAGGTAAACATATTAGTGGAGGTTACCAAAGCAGTTTTCAAAGTGATTATGTAATTTTACACTTTATAGTTAACATATTGAACTTTTTTTAAAAAAGAGATTTATTTATTATTTGCAAGTCAGAGTTACACAGCGAGCAGAGGCAGAGAGAGAAAGAGTTCTTCCATCTGCTGGTTCACTCCCCAATTGGCCAAAACCACCAGAGCTGTGCTGATCCAAAACTAGGAGCCAGGAGCTTCTTCCGGGTCTCCCATGTGGCCCAAGGACTTGGGCCATCCTACACTGCTTTCCCAGGCCATAGCAGAGAGCTGGATAGGAAGTGGAGCAGCCGGATCTTGAACCAGAGCCCATATGGTATGCCGGCACTTCAAGCCAGTGCATTAACCTGCTGCACCACATCACCGGCCCCAGCATAATGAACTTTTAGTCCCTTTGTATCCTCACCAAAATTTGATGCTGTCACCCTGTGATGTTTTGTGTTTGTACATTATGGAGTTACTAAACAAGCTAACTAATTCATCACCTCACACACATCATTTCTGTGGTTAAAGCATTGGTAAAATCTATTGTGTAATCAATTTGAAGTATATGAAGTTATTTCAAAGGTGCATGCAAGACTAGGGAATTATCCCCCTCATCTAACTCTCATGTTTGTTTTTTTTTTTTTTTTTTGATAGGCAGAGTTAGTGACAGAGAGAGAGAGAGAAAGCTCTTCCTTGTTCCATTGGTTCACCCCCCAAGTGGCCACTACAGCCAGCGTGTTGCAGCTGGTGCGCTGCACCGATCTGAAGCCAGAAGCCAGGTGCTTCCTGGTCTCCCATGTGGGTGAAGGACCCAACGACCTGGGCCATCTTCCACTGCCTTCCCAGGCCACAGCAGAGAGCTGGACTGGAAGAGGAGCAACCGGGACAGAATCCAGTGCCCCTCCCGGGACTAGAACATGGGGTGCTGGTGCCGCACGTGGAGGATTAGCCTAGTGAGCCACGGGCCAGCCAACTGTCTCCCTTTTTACTACATCCTCACCAATATTTGTTATCTTTTAAAAAATATTCAATCTTTACTATTTCCAAATTTAGAAAAGTTTTAGCAACAATTACTTCTGATACTTTTTTGCCTCCAACCCTCTACAATACTCAGCTTTTGCCCCAGTTTTTGAAACTCTAATTACACACAAATTAGACTGCTTTATACTGTCCCACAGTTCATGGAACCTCTTTTTTGGCATATTATCTGCCTTTACTTCTGTTGAAATAGACTTTAGTCACTGTTTCTTCAGGTTTACCTAAGTTTCTCTTCAAGGTCTAGGATATCGTCAAACCCATGAAGTGATGACCAGTATGCAGAATTCTGAACTTCTTTCTTTTAGTAGCTCACTGTTCAACAGTAATCCATCAAAGAGCCATTTTTGTCTTTTTAAGTCAATGAAATTATCACATTCTCCTCCAGAAAATTCCTGCGGGTGGTAGGCTGGTAACTTAGAGTTTATTACATTTGTTTTTGTTCTCTAAAGACAATTGCCTATTGTCTACCTTCTGGAAAATGATTATTTCATATATCTTCCTCAGTTCTCTAGTAGGATAAGAAGGTAAGTAGGGTATCAGTTACTTCATATGACTTGATATAAATGACTTACATTAATATTTTAAATATAGAGAGATGCTAAATATATCAATGATAGCAATATTCATCTTTTCCCAAATTCAAAAGTTATGCCCAACAAATATAGTCCATATTAAAGTTTGTGTTATTGTAATGATGTATTTTCACTTGTACATTGTACTACTTAACAGCAATGTGGGCCTCAAAATTGTTGTGATCATCGAACTTGTAAGCTGAAGAAAGGACTAGATTGCTTTGAAGGACCCTGTTGCTCAGGATGCCGTGTAAGATTTATAGATATGAACATTTTCTGTGCGTGTATTAATTATTTGTGGGATACTTTAGAAAACTTATAATTAAGCTATCAGTCAAAATAAGTGATTTTTAAATAAATTATACTTAATAAGTATAGGACCAGATTTCTGATTTTGTGAACTTTTGTTGGTTTTTAGGGCCTCTTTCTTTCTTTCTTTTGACAGGCAGAGTTAGACAGTGATAGAAAGACAGAGAAAAAGGTCTTTCTTCTGTTAGTTCACCCCCCAAATGGCCACTATGGCTGGTGCACTGTGCCAGTCTGAAGCCAGGAGCCAGGTGCTTCTCCTGGTCTCCCATGCAGGTGCAGGGCCCAAGCACTTGGGCCATCCTCCACTGTCTTCCCGGGCCACAGCAGAGAGCTGGACTGGAAGAGAAGCAACCAGGACAGAACCGGCGCCCCATCCGGGACTAGAACCCTTTGTGCTGGCGCCGCAGTGGAGGATGAGCCTAGTGAGCTGTGTCGCCAGCCAGGGCCTCTTTCTAATATCAGTATTTTCAGTAGCTTTTTTTAAAGTCTTGATTTATTAATATTATAGAACTCCTTATTACTGAAGGTCTTCACTTAAAGGGAGAGTTGTTCATTCCTCCATGTATTACACTTTTATAAATAAAAATATTTTATAAGTAAAACAGTTATTGATTATGATAAATATCTATAAATATGATTTTGAGAGATGTAGAAAATTTCTAAAAATATACGGAGTGAAAATTACTAGGTACAGTATTTTAGAAATAGTATCTGTAGCAAAAATTTAAGCTATGGACTTTTTATTTAAAGATTGTTTTAACTGAAGGATTTCAGTGGCATTTCTATGGTGAACAGCTTGACTTCTGTTCCCTGTTTGCCTTTTCAGCCCCCTCATTGTATTCATAACAGATGCATCTTATGAGAAAACCTCTTTTGAACTACCTGTCTTGGGTTCTATATGACTGACTGTCCTTGACTAACACAACTTTTTTTTTTTTCTTATTATACGATTGCATTCTTACTTCTGTAATGTTTCATATAAATTAGAAATGATTTAATAGACAATGGGAGCGGCACGGGCGGCGCCGGGAGGCAGTTGACAGGCGTCTGCGGCTTCGCTTCATGGCCGCCCTGCCGCCCCGCCTGGGCTCTCCGGGGACTGGGGAAGCCCGCGGGGGCCCCGAGCCCGAGCTGGCAAGCCGAGCGGGGAACCTGTGCGCGGCGCCGCGGAGGCGCAGCCTGTGAAGCCAAGACGGCAGCCAGCGCGGGGCGATCCTCCCAGCCGGCCGGGATGGCCACGACGGCCGAGCTCTTCGAGGAGCCTTTTGTGGCAGATGAGTACATTGAACTTCTTGTGTGGAGAACCCCAGGAGGAGGCTCTAGAGGTGGACCTGAAGCTTTTGATCCCAAAAGATTATTAGAAGAATTTATAAATCACATTCAAGAACTCCAGATAATGGATGAAAGGATTCAGAGGAAAGTAGAGAAATTAGAACAACAATGTCAGAAAGAAGCCAAGGAATTTGCCAGGAAGGTGCAAGAGCTCCAGAAAAGCAATCAGGTTGCCTTTCAGCATTTCCAAGAACTGGATGAACACATTAGCTATGTGGCAACCAAAGTCTGTCACCTTGGAGACCAACTGGAGGGGGTAAACACACCCAGACAGCGGGCAGTGGAGGCTCAGAAGTTGATGAAATATTTTAATGAGTTTCTAGATGGAGAATTGAAATCGGATGTTTTTACAAATTCTGAAAAGATAAAGGAGGCAGCAGACATCATCCAGAAGTTGCACCTAATTGCCCAGGAGTTACCTTTTGATAGATTTTCAGAAGTAAAATCCAAAATTGCAAGGTTTTGTGAAAGACCAGTTAGAAGAATGTAGGAAATCTGATGCAGAGCAGTATCTCAAAAACCTCTATGATCTATATACAAGAACCACCAATCTTTCCAGCAAGTTGATGGAGTTTAATTTGGGTACTGATAAACAGACTTTCTTGTCCAAGCTTATCAAATCCATTTTCATTTCCTATTTGGAAGACTATATTGAAGTGGAGACTGGATATCTGAAAAGCAGAAGTGGTATGATCCTACAGCGTTATTATGATTCAAAAAATCATCAAAAGAGATCCATTGGCACAGGAGGTATTCAGGATTTGAAAGAGAGAATTAGACAACGTACCAACTTACCACTGGGGCCAAGTATTGATACCCATGGGGAAACTTTCCTATCCCAAGAAGTGGTGGTTAATCTTTTACAAGAAACCAAACAAGCCTTTGAAAGATGTCATAGGCTCTCTGATCCCTCTGATTTACCAAGGAATGCCTTTAGAATTTTTACCATTCTTGTGGAATTTTTATGTATTGAGCATATTGATTATGCTTTGGAAACAGGACTTGCCGGAATTCCTTCTTCAGATTCTAGGAATGCAAATCTGTATTTTTTGGATGTTGTGCAACAAGCCAATACTATTTTTCATCTTTTTGACAAGCAGTTTAATGATCACCTTATGCCACTAATAAGCTCTTCTCCTAAGTTATCTGAATGCCTTCAGAAGAGAAAAGAAATAATTGAACAAATGGAGATGAAATTGGATACTGGTATTGATAGGACATTAAATTGTATGATTGGACAGATGAAGCTTATATCTTGGCTGCAGAACAAAAGAAAACAGATTTTAAGCCAGAGGATGAAAACAATGTTTTGATTCAATATACTAATGCCTGTGTAAAAGTCTGTGCTTATGTAAGAAAACAAGTAGAAAAGATAAAAAATTCCATGGATGGAAAGAATGTAGACACAGTTTTGATGGAACTTGGAGTACGTTTTCATCGACTTATTTATGAACATCTTCAACAATATTCCTACAGTTGTATGGGTGGCATGTTAGCAATTTGTGATGTAGCTGAATATAGAAAGTGTGCCAAAGACTTCAAGATTCCAATGGTATTACATCTTTTTGATACTCTGCATGCACTTTGCAATCTTCTGGTAGTTGCCCCAGATAATTTAAAGCAAGTCTGCTCAGGAGAACAGCTTGCTAACCTGGACAAGAACATACTTCACTCCTTTGTACAACTTTGCGCTGACTATAGATCTGCCCGCCTAGCTCGACACTTCAGCTGAAGTTCAGTTGACCAAGGGAATGTGTTGTACTTCGGCAGACCTCGGTTGACAGAAAGCACAGGCGATTGCTTATGACACAGCCAACATTTTATGGAAAAATGACTGTTTGGAAGTAAACATCAGCCATACTTACTGTTGAGGTTTTATTTGAAATTTGGATACCACTAGATATATTTGGCTTTTTTTCTCCTAAGTTGAATTTTTAATACCATTTTTGAATTTATAAATTTCAAAATCTGCAAAAGTTCATGTCACTGTTTTTGTCCTGGAAAGTGGTGTCAGAAGGCAAGTGAAATGTTACCAGTGTTCCAGTTCTTGTTCTTTGACATGTTCCATTGGGAAATTTTACCATCCCATTTTTGCTTTGGTAACAGGTGAAATACAGCAAAACTGCATTAATTATTCATAAGTTTTTAATGACCAACACTGGTAATTGTTTAACAGATTATTCTAGATTTTTCAGAAGAATTTTTTGCCTTTGTCAAAAGGTTAACATTTAGATAATAATTTATGTAGTTGGATTTTTTCTGATGTACAACAATAATATATTCCCAGAAAAATGTTATAAACTAAAGTGATGAAATGTTTTATGTAGACATTACGAGTGGATCAGAATTCATCTCCTTTCTGAGTAAAACTTAAAAGTTTACTATTTCTTATTTCGTAAATAGATTTTAAGCCAATTCTAGCAAGGAGTTAATAAAATTACCTTATTTTACATTTCCACTTAAGACTTTAACTAAAAGTCCATATTTATTCACTATTTTAATATTATAAGGGAGGTAAAAAAAACTGAGGTATAGCATAAACGGTGCATTTGGGAAGTATTGACAATATTTCACAACAATGTAGTTCTATTAAGATTTCAATTTTACTGCTAACCTTGAATAAGATGGGATGTCTAAACATGCAGTAGTCTTCTGTTTTAAGAATTGGCATTTGGTAGGTAAGATTATATACTCTAAATGTGGAGACAGCTTTTTCATATTTGCAGGTTCTGTCATTGTCCTTTTTCAAGGCATTTCTGAAGTTGTTCCTAGTTGGATATAGTTAATTGAATTGGCTTCCTATGGTGACATAATAAATCTCTTACAAAATCTTAAACATCAGTTAAAAATTTAGAAAGGCCATTCTATCAACTCTATAAACTTCTGCAAAAATGTATTTTAAATTATATGTAGTTTTTCAGTTTCCTTTGTGTTGTTCATAGTCCTAGGCCTAGGAACAGATAAACTTTAATACTTAATTCATTCTTGGCATTTTTTTCTTTAATGGAGACTTTTTTGGCCTAATTTTGGAAAACTTTTTCTTTTGAGAGCCTGATTCTGAATGGTCATCTTTTACCGAACCTTCCATGTCCAGAGCTAACTAACTGCTGTTCAAGTTACCATCGACTTCATTTTCTTCACTTTCTATTTAGCCCGGTGTTATCAAAGTCAGCATAGAAAATGAAGTATGCCAACTTTTGTCAAAACATGTTAGGGCATTGTGGCAGCATTAGGAAGCTGTCTGGATTTGTATTCCTCAGCCAAGGGAGAGCCAGAACACGTTTTGGATACTGGAGAAAATCATATGCCTGTACTGTTGCCATTTTAGAAAGCTCTGATGTGAATTCAAATTATACTTCTGTTACATAAAGCCAACAGTTTTAAGGCAGTAGTTTTAGAGGCCATTTGAACTCTTTGTACAGACAATTTGTAAAAAAAAAAAAAAAAAAAAAAAAAAAAACAACAGAAACAAAGACAAAAAAAAACCTCAAATAAAATACAAGAGAACAAAAAAAAGAAATGATTTAATAAATATGAGATATGTTCTCTTTAAAATTCTTTATATAAATTTTATTAATTCTATTTAAAAGGAGTTATTTAACTGGAAGACATCTAGGAGGATTACCAGTAGGTTCTTTCTTCTTCAAAAATGTCTATAATTGAACTTATTTTTCCCTTTGCTCTTTCTATTATTTGTCTCTCACATTTGTCACAAAATTTGGAGGTATTCTATCCTTTCCTAGTTAGTTAGGGTTATTTTATTTGTAAATTGACTAGATTACACTATTTTTACCCAAAAGGAATAATTTTCAAAGCTATATTTGATCTTTATTCCCTTGTACTGAAAAAACAAATAAAATTTTGACTTTGATGTCTCATTTGTGATATACTGTTTCTGGTTCTTTTATCTTCTGATTTTAGTTGATAACATTCATAAGCTTTTGATTATAAAGTAAATTGAAAGCATGCCATTGCAAAAATCAAAGTAGGGAAGGAAATAGAGAGCATGGGAGTTAGGGAGGGAGGTTGGGAAGTATCATGCTCTTAAAACTGCATATATGATGTACACAAATCTGTCCCTTTTATAAAACTAAATAAAAACTGCAAAACTTTTCATTTTTAAATTATTAAAATATTGATATACAAAAAGATATTGCTAGGTGTTACTGAATAAAAGGTGCAGGGTGCAAATTACTGACATAACTTTAAAATAAATATTGACAAACACAACAATATATGAATAATTTCTTTTTATATTTTATTTGTCATTAGTTTAAGCCCCATGATACTGTGTGCAGGGAGACTAAACATGATGAATGTGATTTCTTTGACCATTGTTCTGGAAGATCAGCACAATGTGCTGCGGACAAGACCATAATGGATGGAAATCCATGCAGAAAAGGCACATCTATGTGTTTTGAAGGAGACTGCCCAGATCTTAATGCACGTTGTCGTTCCTTGTTTGGCCCAGGTAATACATTTTTTAAATCTAAAAAGTTGGCTCTCTCTGAAAAATAAAAATTTTATGTTTTTAGATGTATAACTTGATGTTTTGGTATACGTATATGTTGCAAAATAGTCACCACAATTAAGCTAATTAAAATACTCATCATCTCACATAGTTACCATTTTTGTTTTAAAATTTTGTTTTAATATTTTAGATTTCTTAGGAAATTTCATATATTCAATACAGTATATATCATGTACTGTAGTCACACTGATGTATTTTAATGTCAATTTATTCATTTTTTGAACTGACAGATTGTACAGATTGACCAACATCCCAATTTGCACATTGCTCTAGACTCTGGAAAGCACCTTTCAATTTTCTGTTTCTATGAGTTGGCAATTTTAGATTCTACATCGAAGAATTTTAATTTCCTTCTATATCCAGCTGGATCGTTTTCCTTAAGATAATGTCCTCCAACTTCACCCATGACCCATGTTGTCACAAACAGCAACATGTTCTTTTTTTGACACTGAGAACTTTATTTGACATTATTCCTTGTATCATATATATAGCAACTTGTTGAGTATTCACATCTCTATGGGTTAGGTACTATTATTCTTCCCATTAAATATATGTGTATTAAAGAAACTGAGTAACCAACTCAGGGTAATGCAACTATTTATAGTCAGAGATGAGATTCAATCCAAGGCAGTCTAACTGCAGTCTTTGCACTTCCCCAGTACACAGTCTTCCTATTTTAACTAAAAAAAAAAAGCACAATAATCACTAGTATCTGTACTTCCTTCTCTTTTTTCCACAAAAATCTTTTATTTAATAAAGAAAAACAATACATTTCATAAATAAAACTATTCTTCCCACCATGCCTACCCTACTACCCACACTCTCACTTCTCTTTCTACTCACTCTCCTATTTCCATTATTTTTTACTAAGATATATTTTCAAATAACTTTATGTAGATGTGATTAACTGTATACTACATAAAGAGTTCAAGAAATAGTATGAAAAAAGAAACTGTTCCTCAATAGTTGAGACAAGGGCTGTTCAAAGGCATTGCATTTCAAAGTGTCAATGTCACTTCTATAGATTACCTTTGGGTGCTCTATTAGTTATCACAGTCCAGGCAGAACTTAAGGTATTTGTCCTTTTGGATGGCTTATTTCACTAAGGATGATGTTTTCCAGTTTCATTCAGTTTGTTGCAAATGACAGGATTTCACTTTTTTAAAAAAACTATAGTATTCCATGGTGTATATATCCAGTAATTTCTTTATCCAGTCTTTTTTTTTTTTTTTGGACAGGCAGAGTGGATAGTGAGAGAGAGAGAGACAGAGAGAAAGGTCTTCCTTTTGCCATTGGTTCACCCTCCAACGGCCGCCACGGCTGGTGCACTGCGGCTGGTGCACCACGCTGATCCGAAGGCAGGAGCCAGGTGCTTCTCCTGGTCTCCCATGGGGTGCAGGGCCCAAGCACTTGGACCATCCTCCACTGCCTTCTTCCCGGGCCACAGCAGAGAGCAGGCCTGGAAGAGGGGCAACCAGGACAGAATCCGGTGCCCTGACCGGGACTAGAACCCAGTGTGCCGCTAGGTGGAGGATTAGCCTATTGAGCCATGGCACCAGCCTTTATCCAGTCTTAAGTTGACAGACATTTGGGTTGATTCCTTATATTATCTATTGTGAATTGAGCTGCAATAAACATGGAGGTCAGATAACACTGTCATATGTTGTTTTCATTTCCCTTGGGAGTGGGATGCCTGGGTCATATGGTATGTATATATTCAGATTTCTGAGGTATCTCCATACTGTCTTCCACAGTAGCTGTACCAGTTTACATTACCAGCCAATAATGGTTTAGGGTACCTTTCTACCACATCCTTGCCATCTTTTATTGTTTGTTGATTTCTGTATGAAGCCAATTCTAATGAGGGTGAAGTGAAACCTCATTGTAGTTTTGATTTTCATTTCCCTGACGTCTAGTGATCCTGAACATTTTTTCATGTGTCTATTGGCCTTTTGGATTTCCTCTTTTGAGAAAGCCTGTTTAATTCCTTTGCCCAGTTCTTAACTGGGTTGTTTGTTTTGTTGTTGTTGAATTTCTTGAGCTCTTTATAAATTCTGGTTATCAATCCTTTATTAGTTGTATAGTTTGCAAATAATTTCTCCATTCTCAAATATTTTTCCCTCTTTGCTGACTTTTTCTTTTGCAGTGCAGAAGTTTCTCAGCTTAATGTATTCCCCGTTGTCAATTTTGGATTTGATTGCCTGTGCCTCTGGGCCCTTTTCCAAGAAGCCTGTGCCTATGCCAATGTCTTGCAGGATTTCCCCAATGTTCTCTCTCTCTCTCTCTCTTTTTTTTTGGCTTTGCATGACATAGGTGTTAGGTAAATGCCTTTTTTTTAACTTTTATGTAATCAATATAAATTTCCAAAGTGCAGCTTATGGATTACAATGGCTTCTTTGATGGTATCAGTTCATAGCTTCAGGTCTTTGATCCATTTTCATTGGATTTTTGTATAAGGTGTAAGGTAAGGATTTTGCTTCATACTTCTGTATGTGGAGATCCAGTTTTCCCAGCACCATTTGTTGAAGAAACTGTCTTTGCTCCAGGTATTGATTTTAGCACCTTTGTCAAAGATTAGTTAGTTGTAGATGTGTGGATTGTCTTCTGGAGTTTCTGTTCTGTTCTATTGGCCTATCCATCTGTTTTGTAGCACTACTAGGCTATTTTGGTTGGGGGTATGTCTTGAAATCTAGTATTGCGGTACCTCTGGCTTTGCTTTTCTTGCATAAGATTGCTATAGCTATTTCGGGTCTCCTATTTTTGCATACAAATTTTCAGCATCATTTTTCTATATCTGAGAAGAATGTCCTTGGTATTTTGATTGGTATTGCATTGAATCTGTAAGTTTCTTTCGGTAGTATGGACATTTTGATGATATTGACTATTCTAATCCATGAACATGGAAGATTTTTGTTTGTTTTCTTCTATTTCTTTCTTTAATGTTTTATAAATCTCACCATAAAGATCTTTGACATCCTTGGACAAATTTATTCCAATGTATTTGACTTTTTTGTAGCTATTGCGAATGGGTTGGCTCTTAGAAGTTCTTTCTCAGCCATGGCATTGTCTGTGTATACAAAGGCTGTTGATTTTTGTGTGTTGATTTTATATCCTGCCACTTTACCAAACTCTTCTGTGAGTTCCAGATCTTTGTGGGAATGCTTCCAATCTTTCTGTATTCAACAGGATACTGGCCATGAGTTTCTCATGAATTGTGTTGAGGAATGTTCCTTCTATAGCCTATTTGCTTGAAGTTTTCATCATTTAAAGGAGTTATATTTTATCAAATGCTTTCTCTGCCTCTATTGAGATAATCATATTGTTTTTGTTCTTCAATTTGTTAATCTGATGTATCACATTTATTGATTTGTGAATGCTGAACCATCTCTGCATACAAGGGATAAATCCCTCTTGGTCCAGTGAATGATCATTCTGTTGTGTTGCTGGATTTGATTGGCTAGTATTTTGCAGAGGTTTTTTGCATCTATGTTCCTCAGGGAAATTCGTCTGTAGTCCTCTTTCTCTGTTGTTTGGAATTAAGTTGGTACAGGCTTCATAGAAAGCGTTTGGGGGGATTCCCTCCCTTTCAATTTTTTTGAATAGATTGGAAGAAGTGAAGTTAGTTATTCTTTAAATTTCTGGTAGAATTCAGCAGTGAAACCATTGAGTCCTGGACTTTTCTTTGCTGGGATGGTATTTATCACTGATTCAACTTCTAGCTTGGTAATTGGTCAGTTTAGGTTTTCTGTGTCTTTATGGCTCAATTTAACTAGGCTGTATGTTTCCAGGAATCTATCCTTTTCTTCTAGGATTCCTGATTGTTTGGCATACAGCTTTTTGTAGTAATTTCTGATGATTCTTTTTATTTATGTGGTATCTGTGGTCACATTTACTTTTTCACCTCTAATTTTATTGATTTGGGTCTTCCCCGTCTTTTTTTGTTTAGTTAGGTCAGTGGTGTGTCAATTTTGTTTCAAAAAACCAGTCTTCATTTTCTTTATCTTTTGTATTATTTTTGTTTCAATTTTGTTTCTTCTCTAATTTTTATTATTTTTTTCTCCTACTAGTTTTGGGGTAGGATTGCTGTTGTTTTTATAGATCTTTAATATACATTGATAGCCCATGTACTTGGTACCTTTCCAGCTCTTGATGTAGCCACCAATAGCTATAAGCTTTCCTCTTAACACTGCTTTTGCTTTATCCCATACATTTTGATAGGTTGTATTGTCAATCTTCATTCATTTTGAGAAAATTTTTTGATTTTTCTTCTGATTATTTCAATCACCCACTGTTCATTCAGGAGCATGTTGTTCAGTCTCCATGTCTTTACATGTGTTCTAGAGATTCTTGAGTTGTTGATTTCCAGCTTCATTCCATTGTAGTCAGAGAGGATGCATGGTACGATTTAGAATTTTTTGAATTTGCTGAGACTTGCTAGATGGCCTAGCCTGTGGTTTGTTGAGAGAAAGTTCCATGCGCTAATGAGAAGAATGTGTATTCTACAACTGTAGGATGAAAGCTCTGTAAATATCCATTAGACACATTTAGTCCACAGTGTTGATTAACTCTGTTGTTTCCTTGCTGATTTTCTGTCTGGTTGATTTGTCCATTGCTGCAAGTGGGGTATTGAAGTCCCCAATTACTATTGTATTGTAGTCTATGTTTCCCTTTAGATCCATTAATACTTCTTTTAAATCACTGTTTTCCTGTAATTAGGTGCACATATGTTTATTATAGTCACATCTTCCTGTTGAATTGATCTATTAATCATTACATAGTGTCCTTCTTTGTCTCTTTTAACAATTTTTGTGTTAAAGTCTACTTTGACATTAGGATTGCTACACCAGCTGATTTTTGGTTTCTGTTAACATGGAATATCTTTTTCTATCCTTTCACTTTCAGTCTGTGTATGTATCCTTGTTGGTGAGATGTGTTTCTTG